AGATTCCGGGCAGGTGGTGGATAATCCCAGCAGTCCTGCAGCTTTTAGTTCTATTGAAGTTCACGCTGCTCTCTGGCTGGGAGGCTGGAACCCAGTTTGTTCAGGCCCTGCACTTGGTATGCTGCCTGCAGCTTGCACTCAGCTCCTTAACTTCTTGCCACCTCGAACCCTGACGCTGGGAGCGGCTGGCTTCAGGAGCCAGCCGGCTCCAAGCTCAGTGGGCCCCTGTCTGAGCCGGCGTCCTCTCCTGGGGACCCTGACGCTGTGTGAGCCACCATCCCTGCAGGCCTCAGTGTTCGCTGCTCCGTCCACCACTCTGCTTCTCCGCGCAGGCGCCTGGCCTTCACAGTGGTCTCCCTGCTTCTGAGGCTTGAGCACCCCTCCCACGGTGCGCATCGGGGCTCAGGGTGAGTCGCGGCCTGGCCTGCCGTCTTCCTCGGAGACCTCTCTCTCCACTGCCCCGTGCGCTTCAGCTCTCACTTCGGGTCCTGGCTGCGCCCACAGGCTCTGTTCCCCTTCTATTCCTCTGCTGTTTACTCTGCTGTCTTCCTGGAACCTAGCACCGTTTGTTGAAACCACACATTTGCCATTGAATGGCTTTGACACCTTTGTAGAAAATTAGGTGACAGTAAGTACGGAAGTTTTCTTCTGAATTGTCAATTTTACTCCACTGGCGTTTGACTTGGTAGGAGAATTTGGAAGATCTGCCATCTACCTGAACAATACTGTCTTCTGATCCATCAGCATAAGTGCCTTTTGGTTAATCCAGGCCTCCCTAAGCAACGCTTGGTAGTGCTTGGTCTAGGAATGCGTGTGTGCTTATTAAATTTACTTCTATGTACTGTAGATTTTTAATGTTATTGTAAGTTTTGTTTACTACAAACTAGTTGCACTATGCACAGAAAATGGTTTTCCACACTGACCTTGTATCTGCAGCTGTACAGCTTTAATAGTGTGTTGCAATCTTCAGAGTTTTATAGTATGCTTTTTCTTTTATTTTAGGGCGGGGTCTACAGGGTATTCAGGGTGTCACCACTAGATGGGATTCGTAGAGATCTGCCTGTTTACAGCCTCCCTAGAGCTGGGATTACAGGCATGCCCAGTCTCAATTGCCATCTGAGTGTGCCCTGGGGGCAGGGCCGGTACAGCAGGCCCAGGGATCGAACCCCAGGCCCCTGTGCCTGCTTGCAGGTGCTGTAATCCACTGAGCTACTTGGTCAGCCCTCAGAGTTTTCTATATATAAAATCATTTCAACAGTACATCAAAATACTTTTGTTTCTTATTTGCCCAATCTTGCTACCTACCTAGCCTTCCTCTCCCTCTCTACTACACCCACCCCCGCTTTCTACCTCTTCTCCCTGTCCTCTTCTCCTTTTAAATTTTATTTTTCCTTTTCAGTATTTGGTACAGTGTCTCACTATGCAGTTCGGACTTGTAGTGATCTTCCTGTTTTCAGCCTCTCTAGCTCTGGGATTACAGGCATGCACTATAGTCTGCTCAGTGTGCCTGGGGCAGGGCTGGTATGGCATGCAGGACTGGGGTCTACTGAGCTATCTCGCCAGCCCTCCCTGTCCTCTTCTTGCTTGTCTTCTTTTCCTCTGTCTCTTCTGCTTTGCCTCCACCCACCCACCCACCAATTTCTTCCTGCTCGCTTTTTCTAACTATATTAGCTAGAACTTCCACTTCAAGAAAGTAGAAAGGCTGCTTGTCTTGTGCTACTTGCTTTAGCTTCATCATGTGTTATCTGGGGGATTTGTGTAAATGTTGTTTTTATGTTGAGGAATAATCTTCCAATTTCTAGTTCCTTTCATGTTGTTATCATGAAAGGGTGTCTGTTTTTGTAATGTTTTCTTTTCTCACCTATTCAGATGATTGTGATTTTGTTTTGTAGTCTATTAATGCGATGTATGATATTCAACGGTTTATAGAGGTTGAGCCAACTTTGTATTCCTGGTATATCTCCTAATTGGTTCTGCTAACTGGTACTTTGCCGGTATTTTGTTGAGAATATTTGTGTCTGCGTCCATGAGACATTCATTAATAGTTTCCTTTTCTGTGTTATCCTGGCGTGGTTTAGGTATCAGGCTATTACGAGGCCTCATGCAATGTCTATCCTGGATAATGTTCATTTTTCAATTGTGTTTGCAAGAGTATGTGGAGGATTTCTCTTTATCATTCCTTAAGTGTTTGGCAAAATGGAGTAGATCATCTTTTAACTCTAGTAAAATTAAAGAAATATCTTTATCTACCTTTTTGTTCTCTTTCTTATTTTTCACAGTGCAGATTTGCTTCCAGTGAATTTGCTTGACTTTTGTTTAAAAAGGTTTTTGTTTTATTGTTTGGTTGATTGGTTTTAGTACTAGGAATTGAACTCAGGACTGTGCATTTGCCAGGTGGGCGCTTGTGCCACTAAGTTATATCCCCAGTCCTTGTTTTCCCTTTTTATTCCTTTTGTACTTGTAAGACATTATGGTTTTATGACCTGGAGAATTCAGAAATATTCTGCTACTGCTCTTACCTGTTGTGGGTGCCTTGTTCTTCTACGATTTCCATCTTTATAGTTGCTTTTCAGTATTTTGGTTATGATCTGCATCAGTGTAGCTTGCTTTATGTTTGTCTTCTCTTTCTTGCCTAAGTCCGTGGTTTCATCAAATTAGGGAAATTTTTCAGTATTACTTTTTTTCAGTTTTATCTGTTTGGTTCAGGGTCTCACTGCGCAGCTTGGACTCACAGTGATCCTCCTGTTTTCTGCCTCCCCAGCGCTGGGATTATAAGTGTGCACAACCATGCCCGAACTCATTCAATGGCTCAGTGCACCTGGGGGCAGGACCAGCAGGGCATGCAGGAGGGGGACAGAACTCTGGTTTCTGTGCTCACCCAAGAAGGCGCTTTGCATACTGAGCTATCTCGCCAGCCCAGCTATTACTTCTTTACTTATAGCTCTTGTCCTCTCTCTGTTCTTTTCTTAGATATATGTATGTATGAAATTGTGTTGTAGTTCCACATAAAACTGATTGTATGGTTGTTGTTGTTTTTCCCCAGTCTTCTTTTTTTCATTTTGAATACTTTCTATTGCTATACTTTTGCTGCTTTTTCTTCTGGCATCTAATTTGCTTTTAGTAACTTTTTTCAATTCAAATATTTTTTCTCTCTTTTTTTAGGGGTTTCACTGTGGCTTTTTTGTATCTTTCATTCCTTGTCATGTTCATGTTTTCTTTTTCTTCTTTGAATGTATTTGGGGTTTTTTTTGTTTTGTTTTGTTTTTTAAAGTTTTATTTATTTTGTGTGTGTGTGTGTGTGTGTGTGTGTGTGTGGCCAGCTCAGCCCACCAGGGGGCGGGGCTGGCTGGCATGTAGTGCTGGGGGATTGAACTGCGGTCCCTGTGCTTTCCTAAGCTTGTTCTAAGTAGGTGCTTTAGACCACTGAGCCATCTCATCAGCCTATTTGAATGTATTTGTAATACCTACTTTAAGACCTTGCTTCCTTCCTCATCTCGGTCATTTCTGAGCCTTTTTTTCTGGTGATGAGTACATGTTCCTACTTCTTTATATGTATAATAAATGTTTAACAAATGCTTGATATTTAACATTTCACACAGGTTAATGTTGGATTCTGTTGTTGTTGTTGTTATTGCTGTTTTTCTTTTGCTTTCTCTCTGTTTTCTTCTCCCCTCCACCACCACTATTGTGAACTGAACTCAGGACTTTGCACTTGTCAGCAGGCACTGCTGTCCTTTCCAAAAGTGTTCTATGGTCAGGTTTGTAGCTCAGTAATAGAGTAAATGCCTGGGCTCTGGGCTCAATACCCAGTAGTGCATCCTCTGGAAATAAGTTTTACTTGTTTCTTTTTGATATTTAATCATTTTTGGGGGGTTGTTTATTTGTTGTTCATTGTTCCCTTGGTGCTGTGGACAAAAGTCAGGGGCTTTCTGATGAGGCTAATAGCACTCTCTGCCAGTGAAGTATGCCTCCTGCTGCTGGAGTCTGTTTTTAAGCTTTTTAGGGCATGTCTAGAAAGAGTATTAATTTTTTTTTGTACTGGCTCAGGCTGCCTTAAGGGTGGATCTGGTAAGGCATGTAGAGCTGGGGATTGAACTGCGGTCCCTTGCACCTGACTGGGTTTGCCCAAGCAGGAGCTTTAAAGAACTGAGCTAATGCTGCCCAAGTCCCCTAAAATTCAAGAAGGCTTTGCTTTTTTTTTTTTTTTTTTTTTTGCTAGCTCAGGCTGCCTTAAGTGTGGGTCTGGTGCAGCTTGTGGAGCGGGGATCGAACCACAGTACTCTGCACCTGACTGAGTTTGCCAGGGCATGTCTAGAGAAGTCCTTATTCTAGAATTAATTCAGCTCTGCTTCTAATGTTTGATTACTGAAGTAGCTATTAAATGTGCCTCAGAATGAATATGGCCTTGACATTTTAACTGGAGGGAATATAAATTATTTCTGTTCACTTATGAACTCTAGGAAATGTTTATCCTACAGATTCTTAGTTATCATTATGCTTTCTTGAGAGGTTACTCTTTTCGGGCTGTCTGTATGGACTCAGATAATTATTTAGCCAAAGCCTTGAATTTTTTTCTGCTCCTTCACATAGCTTTCCTCCCAGGATTCTGCAGTCCAAATTATAGCTGCTTTGGTCTCCCTCAGCCATCATCTCTGGCTTTTCAATTTAGTGGGGTCACTGGGGTTCTCTGTCTTCCAGCATGGCAAGGCCTGCAGGTCTTTAACACAGGCAGCCTGTGGTGAAAATAGTGGCTCGTGCATTTTGTCCTTGTTTCTTGCAGCTTGGAGTGGATATTGTGGGCTGTGACCCAGAAGGACACAGTCCTCAGTTTGCCTCTGTTGGGGCTCTGTGTGCCGGGTGCGCTTCGGTGTGGCAGGCTCTGGCACACTTACAGCTGCCTTTATCTCCACCAGCAGCAGCACCCAGGTGTTGAAGGGGTTGGAACTGTGAAGCTCCTGCATCTTCCTTACTCACTTCCCTGCCTTTCTTGCCTTTTGCAGAAAAAGTGTGAACGTTACTGGCCCCAGGAAAAAAAGCCACTGCAGATCGGGCCTTTCTGCATCACACTGGTAAGCTGTGGCAGAGATGGTGACAGGGTTCTAACGGGACTTGGGTATTGTGGGAGGTTTCAAGGAAGGCTTGCTAGGTGGAATGTCTTTGGACTGGACCAAGAGGGAGGAGCCCTTGCCCACAGTGGCAAACTCAGAGAGCGTATTGATGTTAACCCGAAAATACTCAGAACTCAGCGTATGCAACGCCTTGGCGTGTCTGTCACCCTGTCTGTTTTTCTAGCGCTTGCAGTGGAACCCATGGCCGCGTTCTCTGTAGGCAAGTGCTGTACCACTGTCCTACATCTCCAGCCCTCAGAATTTGCATTTTGGCTTCATTCACAGTTATCTCTATAATGTTCAAGTATCTATTTGGGTTCCTGAAACCCTTGTCTTCTAAAACAAAAGTTGCATCATGTTTATTGCTTTTATTTATTATTTATGTATTCATTTATTTTTTCTGTATTTTAGGGAAGAGTCTACATGGTGTTCAGGGTCTCACTACTAGATCACCCCTAGTGATCTGCCTCTTTCTTCTCTTACGACTTTTCACATTTCAGAAGAATGTGGGGAAATGTCTCCTGTCCCATGCAGTTAGCACTTAATAAACACAATGAGGGCCTGGGATGTAGCTTCGCGGCATAAGCACCTGCCTGGCAAGTGCAGGAGCCCAAGTGCAATCTCCGGTCCACAAAATGAATAAATAACAAGAGCCAGCCAAATAGCTCAGCGAATTAAAGCACCTGCATGCAGGTGCAGGGGCCGGGGTTCGATCCCCAGGCCTGCTGTGCCGGCCCGCCTCTGGAGCATGCTGAGACGGGGCAATTGGGACTGGGTGTGGTGGTGCAAATCCCAGCTCTTGGAAGGCTGTAAACAGGCAGATCACTTGGAGTCTGATCTAGCAGTAGACCCTGAACACCCTGTAGACTCTTCCCTAAAATACAGAAAAAATAAATGAATAAATACATAAATAATAAAAGTAAAAAACATGATGCAACTTTTGTTTTAGAAGACAAGTTCTCTCTTTTTTCACAGAAAATAGGCTTGTATGGTCTTACATAATGCATTTTTCTTCTCTCAAATGTTTCCTTCCTGAAATTTTTGGAGGCTGTTTGGACTAAATGAGTTTTATGTTTATTTGTATTTTTAAATAGTGTTTTTCTTTCTCTTTTTAATTGTATTCTTTCTTTCTTTAGTGGCCGGCTCTGCCCACCCTAGGGGCAGGGCTGGTGTGGCATATGGTGCCGGGGATCAAACCGCGGTCACTGCATGCTTGCCTAAGCTGAGCTATCTCACCAGCCCCATGCATGCTTTTCTTTCTACTTGTGTGTCTTCTGGCAAATCTGTTCTCTTTCTTGTTCTTCCTCTTCCCACTTGCCCACAACCTCAGACGAAAGAAGCAGCTCTGAACGCAGACGTCATCCTCAGGACGCTGGCAGTCTCATTCCAGAAGGTACTGCGAGGGGCAGGTCAGGGCGCCTTGCAGGGGCGGAGCTCCTCCTTCCTGCTCCGCTCTGTGAAGTGAACGTTTGCAGTAGGGGATGATCTGATGGACTGGGTGCTGTGTGGATGGGCATAAAGCCACGGCCTCGAACAGCCAGGGCAGGTGCTCGACTCTCAACTACGCTCCCAGCCATGTCTAGCAGACTTAAAAGGAAGACGCTTAGCGCCGGGCCTTAGGTGTATCAGGCACTCAGTAAATCCTCCTCTCTTCGGTCCTCTGTCTCAGGAATTCCGTTCTGTGCACCAGCTGCAGTATATGTCCTGGCCAGACCGTGGAGTCCCCAGCAATCCTGACACCGTGCTCACAATGATAGAGGAAGCCCGACGCCTCCACGGACCTAGCCCCCGGCCCCTGTGTGTCCACTGCAGGTTAGGGAATATGCCTCATGAGGCTCTAGGGTGGCAGAAAGCGGGCGGGGAGCAAAGCTCGCCTCCGGTCGTGCCTGATAACCAGTCTTGCCCACCTGAGTAACCTAGTGTGCGAGCTCTTTGGTTTCGCTGCGTGGAACGGCATTTGCTGTTAGCGTTTGTGCTCCCTGCTGGAAATAAGCACACAGTGGGTGCTCGATCAATATGTGATTTTAAAAATGTCTACTTCAAAGTTATAATCTGGGGATTCTGCGAGCGGAGAGGGCGCTCACGCCAGCTCCCAACACTTCCACTTACAAGGGGTCGCGAGCAGGCCCTGACTGAACCTGTTCTGATTCTCACTTGTCAGTGCTGGCTGCGGGCGAACAGGTGTCCTGTGCACCATCGATTACGTGAGGCAGCTGCTCCTGACCCAGGTATGCTCGGGGCCCCTGCGCTGTGCGGTGCCCCCGTGGCCCGTGCCCCGTTCGCACGCTGCTCTCTCTGCCGCAGACCATCCCAGCCAGCTTCAGCCTCTGCGACCTGGTCCTTGAGATGCGGACACAGCGGCCTTCGTTCGTGCAGACAGAGGTTGGGCCTTGGTCTCCTCCCCAGGACACAGCTTCCGCCCTTCCTGCCCGTGTCTTCCCTTCTTGCCGACCTCTCACCCCAACAGGAGCAGTATGGGTTCCTGCACCACACAGTGGCTCAGATGCTCCACTCAGCACTCCAGAGAACCAGCCCCCTGTGCCAGAACCTCAAGGAGGTAGAGGCCACACCCCTGGAGCCCCAGGAGGAGCCCCGGTTCCTTCCTCAGCCCCAGCACCCTCTCCTTTTGTACCCCCAGAACTGCGCTCCACTCTACGATGACGCCCTCTCCCTGCGGACTTCCCCGGCCCTTCCTGCCAGTCCCTGCCCGCCTGGCAGGGTCCTCAGGTACCTGCACACAGCCTTCTCACTTGCCTTTCAGTTTCTCAGACTCCCACTTCTTCAGTGCACCAGATACTGTTGCTCTGTCTGTGAAAGAGCCCTGGGAGCCCTCCCCACAGGACTCTTGGACCCCAAGAATCCCGCTGACTACCCCTAAGGCTAGGCCTGCACCCAGGTCAGCTTGTCCCTTGCTCTGCCGGTCAGGGATGAATTTGGCAACTATTTCTCAGTGCTGTTCACGGTCAGTGCTTCGGACACAGCTGACCTGCCCCTGCTCAGCGACCTACCTCATCCTTGAGGCTAGTGTCCCCTCCTCCCCTACAATGCCACTTCTTCCTTCTTTGATTCACATTTACACAGAAAAGACGACCCATCAATACCAGTATCCTGCCCTACATACCCACCTGCCAGGCTGGCCTGGGCTCGCCCCACTGGCATGCTAGTTGGACACTGAAGCCAGACTGTACAGAGAGGCCTGCTTCTGCCCCAGCCGCCAGCCCCTTCCCTCCTTTCTGACGCGGGGAGAAGGAAGCCGCGGCAGGCCCGAGCCTTGGCCACACCCTCTTCGCTTCCTCTGCCCCAGTTTCACTTCCTCTGCTCCCGCTGCAGGAGCAGCTCGATGCCCGCCACGCAGAGCCTCGCCATGGCTGATACCTACGCCGTGGTGCACAGGCGCGGGACCCCGGCCACCGCCCGGGAGAAGAGCGAGCGCCCCGCGGTGGAGACGCCGCTCTATAGCCAGGTGGCGCCGCGCGCGCAGCAGCCCGGAGCGCACCCGGAGCAGGCGCAGGGGGCGCGGCCCAGCAGCTGTGAGTAGGGTCTGGCAGGCCGCGGGCAGAGCTGGGGGGCGGGTCAGGCCGGGGCTCCCTCATGGGCCCCGAGGGCACCGGCAGCCCCGGGACCCAAGCCCCCTGCATTACCTGGCCACGCTGAACCTGTGCAGGACCTCGTTCACCAGGAAGCATCCCTAGACCAGATACAGGCTGCAAATCTGCGTCCCATCTCCGCCTCTGGGGGTGCCAACATATTTGTTTACCCGGTGGCCCAAAGGTCGTTGTCCCCAACCTGTCACGGCTATGGCCCACACTCCCTCTGGACACCACTCCTCAAGGCTTCCTTCCTTCCTGGGTGGAGTCGGGACCCTCTGGGACTGTTGACCCTCCACTTGTGTCTCTCGCCCACAGGTCCTGCTGACCAAAGCCCTACCGGACCTGATGCTTATGAGGATGTGGCAGATAGAGCTCAGACTGGTGGGCTAGGTAAGTCAGACAGAGCAGGGGCACCGTGCTCTGCACTCTTGAGTGAACCCTAGGAGCTTAACAGGGCAGAAGAGTGGGGTACAGTCTGTCAGAGACCTATGAATGTCCCTGTAGTGAAGTGGGAGGGCCTACAAAGTGGCCACCTCTTTAAGCTTCAGCTTCTGCATGGGACCCCATGCCAGCAACCTTCCTACTCTCCCAGGCTTCAACCTGCGCATCGGAAGGCCAAAGGGACCCCGAAACCCCCCTGCAGAGTGGACCCGGTTGTGAGTGCTACCCCTGTGCCTGCCTCTTGCTCCAAAAGGGTACTTTGCTACCAATCACAGCTTCGCCATCTGAAGAGCTAAGAATGTGGATACTGGACCAAAGCAAGTTTTGTGGGGAGAACGTGAGGGCTTTGCCTCGTTGGTGACTGCGCTTGGGGGGGGGGGGGATACAAAATGCGTGTGTTGAATCTGCAGCCCCCGGCGGATGGTACGTGGACAAAGGGGCTTTGGGAGGTTATTGGATTTAGGTGAGCTTATAAGGGTGGGGCCTGTGGTGGGATTAGTGCCCTTCTAAGAAGGATGTCAGAGCTCAGAAAGCACGCTCCTCTGCAGCCTCTGTCTTTTCTTGCCATGAGAATGTCCATGTAGGAAGCCAGTCAGCGGATCTTACTGGGGCCCGGCACCAACCTCTTGGCCTCTGAGGCACCAGAACTATGAGAAAATAAATTTCTGTGATTTAAACCACACAGTGCGTTGTAGACTATTGTGGCCAAGCAGACAAGGTAGTATTTTTGTCTCTCAGACTATACACTGTTTACAGTGTTTGGTGATATCCAGTGTTGACAACGGTGAGATGAAACACGGGCCTTCTGATTACAAGAGTTGTACTCGCCTTGGTCAGCCGCGCACCAGTGTGCAGCAGCTTCTGGCATGCGTGCATCGCTCGACTCAGTTACAGCTCCAAGAATTTAAACTCTGGATCTATTTGTATATACACACAGCAGTGTCTGCACAAGAATGATCAGGGATCGCCGGGTTACAAGTGGAAAGAAGCATGATTATGCATTAGCAAGAACTAAGCAATAGTCTGTTTTTATGTGGGCTACTCTTTAACCTTTACAAAAGAATATGGTAATGGTGGAATGGAAAAGGTGTATACGAAAGATGTTCAATATGTGATTATTTGAAAAGATTAGGGGCTCGAGGAGATGAGGCTGGTATAAGCATGGGCACTGCCCACGCCCCATGTGTTTAAGGGCAGGCTGTCTCCTCACCATATAATGCGCAGTTCTGCAGGATCTCAGCTCCCTTGCCGACACTCTCCTGACCCACACAGAGACAGATGGACTCTGAGAAAGGCGGGTAAACCTCAAGCCATCTGGTAGACCCACACCCAGCCTAGCCACAGCCAAGCAGACTAACCCTATGCAGAGGGGAGGGAAATATCCCCAGACAGGCAGGGAAACAGCTGGGTCACTAGCATGGACACACAGAGCCAAGCAAGGCCACCGCTGGACCTGCGGACCCCAGCCCCAGCCAGAGAGACCAGCCGACGGATAGCCCGGCGGACCTGTTCCACCCAGAGAGACCACCAAACAGGCTGGCTGCAGAGTGCCGACGCCTGCCAGTGCACAGACACACGGCTTCGTCACTGGACAGAGTCCTAGACAGACATGACCCCTGTGGGCAGGTGCCACCAAGTCCTCCAGGTCAGAGCGTGACTGACCTAGCCCGCCAGCCACCCAACCTGCCAGCTGGACTCCCAGCCAGGTGGCCCTGGGCACACAAACAACCTTGGCCACCTAAACACCCCGCCAGCCTCCCAGCCTCCCACACAGCCAGACAGATGGGTCCCCAAACAGCCAGTCCCCGCCAATATAGAACCTCCGTTTTAACAAGAAATATGACTTCTTTTTTTTTCTTTTCCTTCCTTCCTTCCTTCCTTCCTTCCTTCCTTCCTTCCTTC